CCACCATAACAGCTGCCAGAGACCTCAAAGGTTAGCCTGTCTCTGCACTGAATAAATTGGGAGGTCTTGGGCAAGACCTGTAACTTCACAGCCTCAGCTTAATGCTGAAGAAGATAAGAATATTGGTGCCTGCCCTGTCTTCCTCACCAATTTGCCATGAAGACTAACAGGGCTAATGAGAAGGTAATGTGCTTGAGTGAGAGGGAAGGGGCTGTGCTTTGTCACATCTTTCACCATCCCCATTGCTCAAGGTTTTCCTGCTCAGGCACAACCTTGCACAGGCTTCCGGGCATGTCTTCAAATGTTTTCCCTCTTCCTCTAGAATGATCAGAAATAGTTTCTAGCTGCCAGATCCTGGCTCTTCGTCTACTCTGCTGCAGACTGTCCCATGTCTCAGTAGGTTACATCTCAGCCACGTGCCCAGCCCCCAGCAGATACTTCAAACTTCTCCCTCTGGAAGCTCCCCACACAACCCTACCTCTTCTCAGCCAATGACTTCACTTTCCATTGCTCAGAAAAACAGAGGCTGAGAGGCAGGTAGGCCCTTTGATTCTCTCCCCAAAATGTATCCACATGCTCGCCATCTTTAACTATTTGCCTCCTGGTACAAATCCCAGTACCTTTGGCATTTACGACCCTGTGCTACAGGAAAGAGGGTTTGCCTGTCATCACAGACAGATGCAGCTTTGGCCTCTGGCAATCATTTTCTATTTTGAGTACTCAGTTTGGGGTGGAATCGTAGTTCAGTGGATGCTGTCAGAAGGAAAGAGACAGAGTGTCANTCAGTTTGGGGTGGAATCGTAGTTCAGTGGATGCTGTCAGAAGGAAAGAGACAGAGTGTCACGTGGGAAACTGGAGATCAACTGATAACTCCAGGGTTGGAAGAACTGACTCATCCACCTCCACTGTCTCGTGGTGGAGGACAGTGTCCCTTCCCTCTCTCTTTTGGGCCACATTCTAGCTCAGAAGACAGTCTATACAATTTTGGGAGGTCTTAGTGTTTTTCCTTACCTCATGCAACACTTGTGAAACAGAGCTTTTCCACCATAACAGCTGCCAGAGACCTCAAAGGTTAGCCTGTCTCTGCACTGAATAAATTGGGAGGTCTTGGGCAAGACCTGTAACTTCACAGCCTCAGCTTAATGCTGAAGAAGATAAGAATATTGGTGCCTGCCCTGTCTTCCTCACCAATTTGCCATGAAGACTAACAGGGCTAATGAGAAGGTAATGTGCTTGAGTGAGAGGGAAGGGGCTGTGCTTTGTCACATCTTTCACCATCCCCATTGCTCAAGGTTTTCCTGCTCAGGCACAACCTTGCACAGGCTTCCGGGCATGTCTTCAAATGTTTTCCCTCTTCCTCTAGAATGATCAGAAATAGTTTCTAGCTGCCACCATTGCTCAAGGTTTTCCTGCTCAGGCACAACCTTGCACAGGCTTCCAGGCATGTCTTCAAATGTTTTCCCTCTTCCTCTAGAATGATCAGAAATAGTTTCTAGCTGCCAGATCCTGGCTCTTCGTCTACTCTGCTGCAGACTGTCCCATGTCTCAGTAGGTTACATCTCAGCCACGTGCCCAGCCCCCAGCAGATACTTCAAACTTCTCCCTCTGGAAGCTCCCCACACAACCCTACCTCTTCTCAGCCAATGACTTCACTTTCCATTGCTCAGAAAAACAGAGGCTGAGAGGCAGGTAGGCCCTTTGATTCTCTCCCCAAAATGTATCCACACGCTCGCCATCTTTAACTATTTGCCTCCTGGTGCAAAGGCCCCTTCCCACTAACTGACAATGTCTCTACTTGGGATTTTTATCCCTGAAGCTTCCCCAGGTATCTCACAGCATCACTGGTCCCTTCTCATGTCTGAGTCTTTACTCTTTCCCTTGCTGCCAGTCCCTTCTCAGCATGAAAAGGGGAACTTTGACCATGGAATTTGTGTCTCCATAGGAATATGTTGAGGATTTGGATCCTGAGCAGGAGCAGGGGGAAAAAACTCTAGGTAATGACAAAAATAGGGCAGATGTGGGCCCTGGGGGAGGCTTAAAGGATAGAGTATGGAAGATTATACAGAAGTTGCAAGAGTATTGCTGGAGCCCGCATGCATTCTTAGATTGTCTAGACTGTCACCTTTTTCTCTTGGGCCCTGTCCTTCCTCTCTCCATCCCTCTCCCTGGCTTCTACCCTGTAAACCCCATCATGAATACTAAAAGCTCAGAGAAAAATCCTACTCTCTTTAGAGAAACAAAAGTTCAGACCCTGTTAAATCACTGAGAGTTGGGTAATTGAGACATTACTGTACTTTTATTTTTCAAATAAGAGGAAATCATTCTTGCTCCACAGAGCTGGTGATCTCTCTGGAAGACATGACCTTGTGCATCCTACCAGGGCCTGTGGCCGTATAGTCTTGGAACTGTCAAGCATAGGGCCAGCCCTCCCCATACTCCAGGGGTGAATAGATTCCTACCCAGACCAATCACCTCTTTCCCCAGGAACTTAGACCTGATGGGAAGCATGTAGTTGGAACCAAGTCATTGTGACAGCAGCCTCCTGGAGAGATTTCTCGAGTTTTTGCCTCTTGGAGCGCGTGGAACTGCCATCCTTCAAGTGCTTCCCAGGGCTTGGGTATCCAGCTTTTCCGTTATCTCTGTGAAATATCCAACATTCTTTCAATCACTTCCATCTCTGTTCTACTAAGGAAAGATTTCTGTCACATGCTGAAAATCTTCTTCAGAATGTGATCAACTTGCTTCCACATAACCTTCTCAACCCCCTTTTTTGAAAAATGAGTATTTCAGGCATTGGATCCTGAAAGTACTTTATCCTAAAAGTCTGCAGGATAAGTATTATCATTGTAACCATTTTTTTCAGGTTAGGTACTGAGGTTCTGAAATATGTGGGCATATGCCCAAGATTATAGCTGGAACCAGAAATCTTGGTTATTCCATGTCAAGAAAACTCACTATAGCCCAAGTAATAGAGGTTAGTAAGAGGAAAGTGGGAGGCTCTCTGGCCAAGACAGCTCCTTTCTCCACTTCTCTCCATACATAGTCTCTCACCTCTGCTTCTGAGGATCTGCTCCATTTTCCTGCCTTTCTCTGCAGACTGGCTTTCTCTGCTCATTCATCAACGAGTAAATTGCTGAAAAAGACTGCTTCAGTCCAAACTCTAAACAGTTGTTTGCTTCAAGCTTCCACCATCAACTATAGTTTCTGTATCTCTTCGTTTGAATTATTGATAGAAAATACGGTGTCTAGTCAGCTGGGGTAGGCTGGAAAATGTCCCCCTACCTCCACCCCCATCCCCACCCCCAAAGATAATTGCATTCTAGTCCCTGAAACCTGCGAATGTTACTTTATATGGAAACAGTCTTTGCAGATATGATGAAATTGAAAGATTTTAAAATGAGGGCAACAAGTTTGAGCCCTGCGGCCCGCCGTCGCCGCTGCGCCTCCCAAGGTCCTCCGCGGCTCCCACGCCTGCTCGCCCGGCTGTGGCGCGGCCGGAGGGAGGCGCGTGTACTTCATTGCAGTCATGATTTTGAGTACTAATAAAGAAAAAATTTTAGTTACCATAATAAATATTTTAAAATGAGGAGATTATCTTGGATTATCTGGGAGATTTGTCACAAACAAAAGAGGAGAAGCTGATGTGAAAATGGAAACAGAGATTGAAGTGATGTAGCCACAAGCCAAGGAATGCTTGCAGTCACCAGAAGCTAGAAGAGACAAAAGACAGATTCTTTCTGAGAGCCTCTGAAGGGAGCAGAGTTCTGCAGTTACCTTGATTTCAGCCCAGTGATATTGATTTCAGATTTCTGGCATGTAGAACTGTGAGAGGATATACTTCTGTTATTGTAAGCCATTTAATTTGTGGTAATTTGTTATAGCAGCCACAGAAAAGTAATACAGCAGCCAGTGAATTTGTGCCTTCTGCATTAAGTGTCTACCCATTGTCTAATGAGCTGTGTCCAGAGGGATAGTTATAGGAAAAACAAAGCCACTGAGGCCTGCACTCAGAGAAAAGGCATAGGCTGGGAGATACCTGCAAGTATTCCACTACTACTCCCTGACACCTGCTAGCATGTAGGTGTGAGAGAGAGTGTTGGAAAGCCTGGGGCAGCAGTCATCTGCAGCCTGAATCAGTGCCAAGCCTAGAGCTTTTCCTTCCCTTTACCCAAATAGGAAATGAGTTCATAAACAGAGCTCTTAATGGGGAGTGGAGAAAAGAGAGGTGAGGTTAGGTGAGTCTACCCATCTAGCTAATTCAAACAAGTGTTTACTTAACCTTCTTTTGGCAGGCCTTAGGATAAATGCTTAGCACAGGCACCAGCCTATGGTATAGAGGATAAGACCCCCACATCCTGGACAGTTGGAAAAGAACAGAATTATTCAATCACTCATTCATTTATTCATTCAACAAATGTTTTCCATGCGCATTGAGTACTATGCTAGGTGATATAAAATACATAGTCACTCACTGTCTTCATGGTGTGAGAAAAATAAATAAGCAGATAAATGAGGAAAATAATCACAAATTGTGAAGAGGGCTATAAAGGCAAGGAGTAAGTTATGAGACAGAGAATAAGGTGTATGAATTGCTGGTGGTGGTAATCAGGGCTCAGAATCAAGAGTTAGATTTGGGTTGTGTGTGAGAAGTTTGAATGGAGAAGTCCAATAGGCAGTTAGATTTTAACCTGGGGATGGGAGAAAAGGTTTGGGCAGGAAGTGGAAATTTGTTATATAGAACCATGGAAATGAATAAAAGGCCCAGGAAAAAGAGCACACAGGGGAAAAGGTGTAAGTTTTATCGTTAGTTGTATGCATAGGGAGGTACATGAACACCTACGTGTGAACGAGCGATCTAGAAGAAGCGGTCTATAAAGATTAGGAAAACTTCCGAGCCACTCCGACCTCAACTAGACTACATTTCCCGGAATGCCGCACGAACTGCGCGTGACCCGGAAGTTGCTTCCAGCCGCTTCCTGTGCAAGCGGTCTCGGATAATCATGGCGGCCCTCAGGAGTCGAGTAGGTCTGTGCATTCTCCTGACAGGTTCTGGGGGTACGAAGCGGATCTGTTTCCGGGCCCGAACTGAGCCCCGGCTCGGTTCCCTACTCCAACCGCTGCTCCGGCCCTTCGAGGTGGGGCTGCCATGCCGCGGGCTCGGCTCCGAGGCTGGTAAGTGACCTCCCGGGAGACCTAGAACCTGCTCCTGGTTGGTGGAAACCGTGCGGCGGCCCCCGCGGCTGTGCTCGTAGAGAGTCCTCAGACTCAGTCGGCTTCTTTCTGTACCTGCATTCTGTACGTTCATTCACTCAGCCATCAGGGACTGAGCTCCGCTCCTTGCACAAGACTGTGCTAAGCTTAGAGTCCTCAGACTCAGTCGGCTTCTTTCTGTACCTGCAGTGTTTGTTATCGCCTGTATCTGTTCGTTCATTCACTCAGCCATCAGGGACTGAGCTCCGCTCCTTGCACAAGACTGTGCTAAGCTTAGGAGATACGGCGAACTAAGACTGCCACTGCTTTTCCCTGAGGGAACTCCTGATCCAGTGGCGAATTGGCAGTGCAGTGTGACACGTGCCGTGATAGGGGACGCATATAGCAGAGGCATGCAAACTAGGTTGGAAGGGCAGGGAAGGTTTCTGGAAAATATGACCGAAGCTGAGACCTGGTTAACCATGCTAAGGAGGAAGCAAGACGCCTTCCAAGCATAGGGGACAACATAAGCAAGTGTCCACAAGTGAGACTGAATACAGGTATTTGAGGAACTCATTTTGGAGGTAGGATTAATAAGGCTTGGCTATGGCTTTAGGTCTGTATTTAAAAGGAAAAATCAGCGTTGTTTCTTAAGTTCCTGGCTTGAGTAGTTGAGTGGAGGAGGTAGTCCCATTTGTACCAAAATGAAGATTAATTCTAGCAACAGTTATTTTGGGGGGCGGGGTGGGGTGGGGTGGAGTATTTAAGAATAGATGAGGCAAAGAGATGGGAAAGGAGACCTAGTTTGGACACATTAAATTTGAGGTGCCTTTGAGATTCAAGTGTTCAGTATGCAGTTAGATATAAATTGAGGGACATCGGACTAAAAATGTAACCAAAGCTGGGAGAATGGGTAGGAATGTCTTGAGGAGAGAGTAGTTCTCAGCACCTCCTGTGTGTTGGACACTCTAAAGGGCCTCTGGGTGCCAGAGATGGGGAGTTCTGGTCTTCAGAGAGCACATCGTCTCGTAGGAGACACAGTGAAGTAAGCAGAACACCTTTGCTTTGTTTTCCTAAATGATATTGGAAGCCATTGGTGAGTTTTAAGCTTGGGAGTATCTTTATTTTATTTATTTATTTATTTATTTATTTATTTATTTATTTATTTATTTATTTATTTATTTATTTATTTATTTATTTATTTATTTATTTATTTATTTATTTATTTATTTATTTATTTATTTATTTATTTATTTATTTATTTATTTATTTATTTATTTATTTATTTATTTATTTATTTATTTATTTATTTATTTATTTATTTATTTATTTATTTATTTATTTATTTATTTATTTATTTATTTATTTATTTATTTATTTATTTATTTATTTATTTATTTATTTATTTATTTATTTATTTATTTATTTATTTATTTATTTATTTATTTTTTAAAGATGACCGGTAAGGGGATCTCAACCCTTGGCTTGGTGTTGTCAGCACCACGCTCAGCCAGTGAGCTAACCGGCCATCCCTGTATAGGATCCGAACCCGTGGCCTTGGTGTTATCAGCACCGCACTCTACCGAGTGAGCCACGGGCCGGCCTTGGGAGTATCTTTATTACATTTTTAAGAAATTACCCTGGTTGCTCTGGAGAATGTTCTGAAGTCGGGCCAGAATGGAGTCAGGGAGGCTAAGGCAAAAGATAAGGATGGTCTTGATAGTGTAGTGGCAGTGGGAAATAAAGGATTAAAAAAATTTATGAGGTATAACAGACAGTATGTTCTGTCATTGTCTTTTAATTTTTTTGTAAAATGAGGGTAATCATAGTATTTACCTCATGGCATTGTTTTGAGGATTAACTGTGCTGAGCACATAGGGTACGTATCTTAGTAAGGACTAGCACATAGTAAATATCTAATAAATCATAGTTGTTATGACTGTTCTGATTACTACTGCTATTGGCTAGATGTGGAGGGTAAGGTGAAGTCAGGAATGACTGTAAGGTTTCTAGCCTTCATGACCGATTGGATGGTGCTGTGATATGGAACAGCAGGAAAAGCAGGTTTGAGATGAGAGAAAATTGATAGGCTCTTAGTTGGCAATATTGAAGTGCATGTGAGATGACCATTGGGTAGTTGGATGGAAGATAATTTTGGCTGGAGATTCACATTTTAAAGAGTCTCTAGCATATAAAGGTAATTAAAGTCATAGTAGATCATCCAGTGAGAATGTGAGAAGGGAGAAAAGAAAAGGACATAGTTTAGAATCCTGAAGAACACCAAGGTTTACAGGACTAGCAGGGGAAGAGGTCACTGGGAACAAATGGCTTTTTCTTTTTTCGTAATGGAAATAGAAGTCAGGCAAAGGAATAGGCAAACTGCATGAGGCAGAGTTTAGATCTGAGTCTCCTCTCCTGTTCAGAGTTCTTCCACACGGCCTCTTCAGTATCAGGTCCAGTGATCTAAGTCTCTCTTTCCTAGCTGCAACACTTCAGTCTAGCATTTCTTTCCCTTTTATCTCCCCCTTGTTGAGGCTCCTGGGAAGCTGCCTTTGACCCTGTCATGCTCTTCCTATTCCCAGACTATGTTTAGTTCCTTCCTCCGTAGTCACAGAAGCCCCTGTGCCTCCCTTGTATATAGCACTTAATCGAGGAGCACCATGGTAGACTGGAAATGATCTAGGCTTTAAAACCAGACAAACCTGTAAATTGCTGTAAATTCTGGCTCTATCACTAAATAGCTAGTTGCCTTGGGGTAGGCTTCAGCAGCCTCATTTATAAAATTGGGATATCAATACTCAGTACTATTTTGTGGGTTGTCATAAGCATACCTGAAAATGTGTTATGCCTGGCATGTAGGAGACAACTCTAAATGGTAGTGACCATTGCTATTATTATTGTTAATTACTTGTTTCCTATTGCTTCCTCCAGTAGACTGTCTTTTTGGCAGATTGTGTCTATGTCCTCATTATAAAGAATGCTCAGTAAGTTTTAAATGAATGGATGAATGAGTCTCATAGCTATTAGCATTATGCAGTGCTGAGGCAGACATTGTGCTAATGGTTTTTATTAACTTACTTTTCTACTTAGAGATCTTGTTGGCTTATCATTTTTGCCAGCTTCTTATTTGCTAAAATCCATTTTAGCAGCATCTGGTAGCTCGGAGATCAAGAAACCTGCATTTATGGATGAGGAAGTCCAGAGCATACTCATTAAGATGACAGGCTTGAACTTGCAGAAGACCTTTAAGCCAGCTATACAAGAACTGAAGCCACCAACCTATAAGCTAATGACCCAGGCACAGTTGGAAGAGGTATGTGAATACAGAAATACTGACAGACCTCTCGGAAAGAGAGACCCTTCTTTAAGGGGTTATACAAGATTTCCAGAGGCCCCTCCAGATGCTTTTAGCTGCTCTTCCACAGGCTAGAGAGGGGACTACCAGGCACAGAATTGGGAAAAGAAATGTGAGTAGGCAGGCGAGAGGAGCAGGGAGCAAGGCCAGAATTGAACAGATGGGTAAGGTCTGGGTGTCCAAGCAGAGTCTGCTCTCTGCTCCCAAGCCAGTCTGAGCATCCTTCCTTTTTCCTGCCTGCTCCAGCTTCCTTCTTGAAGAAACATCTGCTGTGAGCTGCCCTGTGGCTGAAGCTTTGGTGAGATTATGAGATTCCACTGAACAACATCTTACTCCAGGCACCAGTGTCCTCCTGGAGCCATGGATACAGAGTCCTTTGTGGAAAACACTTTGATGTATGAATATGTGAAGCATTAATACTCTTTCTGATTCAAAAGTGATTTATAGTTGTACCAAAAAATTCAAATATCCAATAGTGTATCACATGAAGAGTGAAAGTCCCCTTTTCCCTTCTCAGAGGTAAGCACTGTTAACAGTATGGCATGAAGCAGTGTAGTCAGGGGTTAAGAGCATGGGCTCTGAAGTTGGGTTGCCTGGGTTCAAGTCCAAGTGCTGCAACTTCCTAGCAATTTACTTAACATCTGTGTGCCTGTATTTTCTCTTCCTTAAAACAAAGATGATAACAATAGCATCTAGCTCCTAAGGTAGTTATGGGTATAAATGAGCCAAATATATCACAGTATTTGAACAATATCTGGCACATAGTAAGCCCCCAATAAAGGCAATCCTTTATTCTATTTCACACAGCTTTTGTGTCCTGGCTCTGCCTCTGAGAATTCCTTTGCTGTTTAAAACAAAGGAATAACAGGTTAGTGTGTGGGCCTCTGAGAATTCCTTTGCTGTTTAAAACAAAGGAATAACAGGTTAGTGTGTGGGCCTCTGAGAATTCCTTTGCTGTTTAAAACAAAGGAATAACAGGTTAGTGTGTGGCTGGTGCACTCAGCCACTCTGCAGAGGCAAAGGCCAGGGCCCACAAGTTCAAGTTTGACTTTTCACTCACTGATTTATGGCTACAGCTTCTTTTCTTTGCAGTCTTTAGCATTTTTATTAGTATCTGCTTTTGGTCTGTAATCTTGTGGCTTTCTTTAAGAAATATTTTATGTCAATAGGCTACAAGACAGGCAGTTGAAATAGCTAAGGAACGGTTAAAAATGCCACCAGTTCTGGAAGAGCGAGCACCAATAAATGATGTGTTAGCTGAAGATAAAATCTTGGAAGGAACAGAAACACACAAATATGTGTTTACTGATATAACATACAGCATACCACACCGGGTGAGTATATGTCTAATTGCAAAATGACCTTAGTTTGAATTGCCATGTGGAGGTGGGCCTGAGGGCTTATCTGATGTGACCTGGCTGTCTCTAATGCTTCCAAACCAGAATTTGTGTGACTGGGTGAGACTCTTCTGGAAGATGCAGTATGAGGAGGATGAGAAAAGAAGACCAGCCCTACATCATTATACTGCCATTTCCCTTCAGATTTGGACAAAGTATATATTCCATATTGACTGCAAAGAGACAGATGTGCTGAGATAGAACAAGGGGTATATAGACAGAAACCCATCCCAAAACCACAGAGACAAAAAATCTATAAGGCAGTGGGAGAAGGAAATTTGTTTTGCCTGTTAAGACTGATTTCCTTAGCTGAAGCTTTTTGAGAAGATGGAGTATTTGTATCCTGTACCTTCCTTGATGATGTCAAGAAACTTAGATTTCCCAAAAGATTTTCACTTTCCAGAATTTTCAGTAGGAAGGACAGATGTTTCTCAGATAATTTTTCGGACATCACTGCTCTGTCTGTTTTAATCATTATTTTCTGGCTCCTCTTCCCTTGATTGCCAACTTAAAAGAACACTCTGGCACTTTAAAACATAACAATTTTGTATTTGAACCTTTGTAAATAAAGAATAAAAAGATAATTTATAATTTGGCCCACAAAATGCATTAGGATCCTAAAGAATGCTGAGTTTGGGAGAAGGACCACTCCATATTAGTATTTTATGATGATCATGCTAGGAAGACATGATTTGTACTATGTTCATGTCTACACCAGCCATCTCCATGTCTGACATAATGAACGGGGATCAGAGTTTTCATTTTAATAAGAATTTTTGTTTTGTGGTGCACTGCTATGAAGGCTGGTTGTGGAAGTATTTTACAACTTGAAAGGGGAAAAGGAACTTGCAATTCAGGTTTCTCAAATTACCAAAATCCTTTAGAAGAAAAATTGTGTTATTTTGGCATCTATTTTTTTTTTTTCTATTCGAAGTGCTTGATGAAAGTTTTATTTATATTATCCTCAGAACACATTCTGAGGCTCTTACATCTCTGAAAAAGTTGAGAGTTAGTACCATCTGGTTAATTTATACATTAATCAGGTGTGTGTCAATTATCCTTATATTATCCTCAGAACACATTCTGAGGCTCTTACATCTCTGAAAAGTTGAGAGTTAGTACCATCTGGTTAATTTATACATTAATCAGGTGTGTGTCAATTATCAGCAATGTGCAAAACTCTGTATGTCACTCTGGGTGTTTCAAAGAATTATAATCCACATTTCCTCCAGATATTTAACCATTTCTGAGAGATGTCAAGAGTCTTCCACATGATAAATTGCCAGTTTAATGGTATAAACAGTGGTTAGAATTCAGAGGAGGAAGTGATCCCATGGCCTGGAATTTGGCTGTTGCAAGAGTGAAGAGACCAGAGGCGGGTGGACCAGTCAGTCTCTTGACATATTTATGTCTGATGCCAATATGAGAAATCATAGAGGTGCCATACTCTTGGGTTTGTTCCTTTATCCCAAGGATTTTAAGCATAGATAAAGTAGTATACCTGTTTAGGTGAGACTTTGGAATGGGTAAATGAAATAATTAGAAAAGGTCTTATAGCACTTCTTTCCTCTAAAATCGATTTAGATGAATCTCAGATCAGCTTTTTTTAGGTGAACCATTTTATGTATTGAACCCATATTAGCACTATAGTTGGTACTTACTAAGTACTTTTATTTTAGATTTCTGATTGTCAGATGCACAGCAGTGATTAGTGAAGGGCGTGTCAAGCCTTGGCAAGTCTTTGAGGCTTAAAATTATCAGTGAACTCATATGCATGATTACATTTTGTTTCCCATTTGCACTTTATATTATTGATTGTAGATTATTCTTATAATAGTCTTAGTGGGACACAGGATCTAAAAATAAGTCCTCACAAAGTCATCCTTGATTATATTTTCTATCTCAGGAGCGTTTTATCGTTGTCAGAGAACCAAGTGGCACGCTACGCAAAGCCTCTTGGGAAGAACGGGACCGGATGATACAAGTTTATTTCCCAAAAGAAGGTCGTAGAATTTTGACACCTGTAATTTTCAAGGAGGAAAACATTAAGGTAAGGCGACTTAGGTTTTATATCCTAGAGTCAGTGGTGATGATTTCTTTGTTGAATCCAGTTGGCTCTGGTGCTGCTTGGCATTTTGCCTCAATCAACACAGACAAACATTTCTAACAGTACCCGGATTAGCGCTCTCTCTCTTGTAATTGGCATAACTGGGATTCAAATTCAGGTGTGACAATTACAAAGCCCATGTCGTTTCTTTATGCCTCTTGATGGGTACAGATGTGGCCTGTCATGGTGTCAGGACAGGTGCTGAACTTAAGTGTTCTCCTCTGGTTCCAACTCTGCTGTGTGATTTTAGACCATGTACAGCAAGGACCGGCATGCTGATGTCCTCAATCTCTGTGTTGCCCAGTTTGAGCCAGACTCTGCTGAGTATATAAAGGTGAGTATATTTTATAGTTTCTAAATTATAGGCTTAAGTATGGTTATGAGTAGGATTTTAAATCTAGCACAAGGAGTTTGGTTATAGGCATTGATACACGGGG